CTCTCAATCATCAAGTCTGGCTTCAACCATCTGGTCATAAACCATAGACCAAAACTGTGGTCAAATCCCATCCCGTACATGTTGTTCTTGATAGGACGTGTTTCGTATATTGGCACAAACTCCTCCAAACCTTGAAGTAAATCTTTTGTGGTCCATTCCACAGTTTTGCCATGTTTCGATCTGCCTTTAGAAAGGATAACAATTAATTGGGATATATATTACAGAAAACCTTTGCCAAACTCAAATTGTACTTGCACAGGTATAAATCAGAACTAAATGAATCGCGCAAGAGACAATCTTATAATTAAGAGATTCAATTTCATAAAACCTTCAACATTATTCTGAAGACAATTGTACTTGGCATTGAGCCTCATATTGTATTTATCATCAACAGAACGTCTTAAAACCAGAAATTATATAAATCCTCAGTAAACGAATCAAACAACAGAATAACATTTCCATGCATTACAATAATCGAGTTTGTTTGTTTNCTTACACCAGGGGACACCGAGAGATCCGAAATCCGTTTCGAGGCCATCAAAACCGAAGAATCGCAATCGGGAAGTGTGATCGGAGGAGGATGCGGAGATGCAGACCAAATCTCGAGTGTGGACGATGAACGAAATGATCAGTACGAAGATGAGGGCGATTAGGAGGCAGGGCCATACGTGACCGGTTCGGGCCAGGGAGTTGATGACCCGCATAGGAACGTGGCTGTGCTTACGGGTCTTGGACTCGTCCCCTCCATTGCCATCATCGCCGTCATCGTTCACTGCTCCGCCGGCTCTCCGAGATGACAGCACCCTATCGAGCATCTTCATCTGATGTATGTGTGTGGGAAGCTCTGCTTTACTTCTTCATTTATCACGGTACGCAGGTCCGGTGGTTTTAGTCAGTAAGATCTGTGGGTGTGCTTGGAAGATGAACTGCGTTCCAGTCCTTTGATTCGTTTCAATCCTAATTTTTTTTAGGAAAATGGTAGAATTACACCAAAAATATACCCCAAACATCCCCACCCCTTCCATCACCATACAAAAAAACAAGAAAAATTCAAAAAAAAATTAAAATTAAAAACAAAATAAAATGAATGGTAAAGAGAATGGTGGTGTACATTTGGAGTACACCTTTGGTGTACTCCTAACATACCTCAAAGTGGTTTGATCTGAATCTATATATATTTAAAAGATATTACTGAAAACACGAGTTAAATAATAAAATATAGCTTCCTTTTTTATTTTCAAAGTATTTTGAAAATGTTACACTATATATTGGCATTTCATAGTGCTTTTGGTATTATAGATTCCGGTATTTATATGTTTCCATTACTTGAATAGTAATTCTTATTTTGGGAAACAAAAATAAAGCTCTGATTTTAATACTTTATTTATGTTTTACTCATTTTTTAATCTTTTTTCCATAGATCTAACATTCCAACCTGATATAATTCAAAAGTTAAAAGTATTACAAAACCATGTATTTTGACTTGTGCAACGCACGAGGTCGAACGATTTTTTTGTTGATTTTAATTTTGTTAATGCAATATTTTTTCCAGAATCGAGTAATATATTTACTCGCATGATTTTTAATACAATAGATAACAAAGCCAAAGTAGAATAAATAATGTTTGAGAAATTGAAAGTATACTCGACAAAGTCTTTTTTAATTTTAAATTTTATTAAAAATTTCAGGGTATACAATATTTTTGGTATGCTTTCAATGGTTTCTATTGTCATCTAAAACCAATCTTTTTAATCATTTTATTTGTCTTCTCTCGTGAAACAACAACATAAAGCTAACCATGAATTAATTTAAACTTAGCTAAAAATAATCCAAACAAAAGATATGCTTGACATTTACATTTGTTAATAGTCATAGTGCAACAATAATGAGGAATAAGCATCCACCAATATACACAAAGTTTAACGAAGAAAAGTGAAAAAATAGATAGAACAAAAGTAGAGCGCTAATATTCATGAGGTCCATAGTGATGAAGTAAAGTGCTTACCCCTTCTGCTCACCCTTTCACTTAAAAATCTCATGTAGCGATGATCTCCATAAAAATGGTTCCGATTTAAGTGGATAAAACAACCACAAAAGTATTATGGTTCATTCAGATAGAGGTGTTTATATTAATAATAATGCAGGTAATATGATGCAGAATAATTATCTGATTCACAAAATGCAAAATCAAAAACATGATTGGAGATATCACAATTTCATGGAGATCGATGAAGCAAATCTTGACCGCCACATCATCAAATCACGCAGAGTTGATAGCTCTCTACGAAGCAGGTAGAGAACGTGTATGGTTACAATCTGTGATCCAATACATTCAGAGCGAATGTGGTATAAATGCAAATACTAGCCATCCGACTCCTGTATATGAAGGCAACACCGCATGCATTGCTCATGTTAGAGGAGGCTACATCAAAGGAGACAAAACAAAGTATATAGCACCAAAGTTTTTTCTCAACTCATGATCTCGCACCAAAGTTTTTCTCAACTCATGATCTCGAGAAAGATGGAATGATTGACATCAACCAAATCAAATGCAATGAAAACCTTGATGATTTATTTACAAAAGTATAGCCCCCAAAGAAATTTGAAGAACTCGTACACAAGATTGGAATGTTCCGCCTCTGTCAACTATGCTAAGTTGAGGGGAAAATTTTATGCATTGTACTTTTTCCCCCTTAATCCAATTTCTATCTCAGTAGATTTTTCCTGACAAAGTTTTTAATGAGACAGTACATAAAATTAGGATGAGTTTCAAAACTACGCCCATATCACGAAGTAGCTATCACTAATTGCAAATAAACATTCAAGGGCTAGTGTCATGAAATTAGTGAATTTATCATATTTCAATTAATTAGGCCCACTATTCTAGAATGATAGAGAATGTGAAGTTAATACTACACACCAATTTAGCAATCTCCATGGTGAACACTGATTTGAGCCCATGATAATTAACATCTTAAACAACTAACCAATCTAACAAGAATAAGCTATATAAAAAACCAGTAGTACAGCAGATACTAATCATCAATTATATTATATATCAAAGAAATCCTCAACATTATAACCCATATCAGAAACCTCTCTCTGTTCATTTTTCTTTTTCAACTTCTTTTTCTAACTTTTGGTCATAGGCTTTTTAAGAGGTTTAGGTTCTTCTTTTTTGTTTGGACAGCAGAGCTTGAAAAAATTTATTACCTCATCCTCATGAGACTGAGGATCAAGAAGGTCTTGCTCCTCTTCCCATCCAATTGGCATGATCCTTCTACCTTGTGCTAGTAATTTGGCCCTGCTTCATGTCACAATTTGTGAAGGGGAGTAAGTCTTTCTGCCCTCGAGTTCCTTGTGCAGATATAAAGCGTGCTTGGTGCATCTTCAAAGGTCAATTTGAAGAAGTTTAAGCATAGAATCAATGAAAACTAAGTCCTCTCGCTCTGAATGTGTGTAAAGAATGGGCCCTTCCCTTTGTGTGATCTTCCACTACATTAAGGCATAAAACCAAGCTTTGTTCATTCAGCTTTGAAAATGAGTCCTCTTCCTCCAAGCATATTGAATTTGGTACCAAGTCTATATCCCTGTGTAGAGCAACAAATTTTTTATATAAAAGTGGTACAAATGAGGGTGTATAAGGAGATAAGATCCTTTTTTATATTGGTGGAAACAAATCATTAGAGATGCTGCATTTATTTTCTGTTTCTCCCTTATATATCACCAACTGTCCCTCTGCAACTCTGCCGTCTGTCAAAGGGGCATGAAAATCTCTATCCTCAGTCTCCTTTGAATCTGCAATTTGAGTGGGCAGAGTTGGTGTGTCATTTGCCAAGAGAGGAGTGTAGATAACTGTCTAGGGTTCTTCGAGTTTTCTGAGAGAATTTGAGACTAATTGAACCTTATCATCCACCGTTGGCACTGATGTTGAACAAGCTCTGTGAATAAAGGAGGAGAGTGCCCTGATGAAAGGTTTCGGTCCATCCTTGTTCGAATCAAAGGGGATGACTAAAAACCTCTTACCCTCCCTCCTTCTCTCTAAGCTCTTGATGTAGTGTGTGTGTGTATGTATGTATGTATATATATATATATATATATATATATATATATATATATATAGAGTTTGGTTCTGGTGAGAATGCGATCTTATGAAAGAAATAATAATGAATCTGGTGCTTTAGATTGTGAGATTTAAGGGCCAGGATTGCATCAAAATTAGGTGCACCAAAATGGTTTAAAAATGCATCATGTCAAAATGCACCAAAATCCTTCGAAAATGCACTATCTCAAATTCTGAGTGCAAGATGCAATCTGAGCCGCACGATGCATCAGATCCAAAGGCTAGATTTTATTCTTATTTCTTTCACCAAGGTGCATTCTCACCTGAACCGGCCCCTATATATATATATAGGTGATGGCTAGTGAGAGAAAGTTTTCCGGCAAAGCTCCGGCCACTTCTCCGGCGGCAGAGAGGACACCTTCCTCTAAACACTCCTTCCCAAAATTGTTCTCTGCTTTATTTTCAACTTCTAATCTGCGCCCCCTAGGGAGGGTTGAGAATCTTAGGAATGGGATACCCTCAGCCTCATTCTCTCTGGAAGAAGAAGAAGAACTTGCAGATTCTTTGAAGTTTGCCGTTTTGGGCAGGTGCAACAACGAAGTGAACCTTCAAAGTTTAAAAAACTTCCTCCTTAAAGGGGGATTCAATGGGGGCTTTAAACTAAGAAGGCTTCAAAGGAAGGTGGTGCTTTTCATTTTTAGGACGGAGGAAGACTTTGTCAGATTTCTAAGAAGAAGAGACTGGTATGTTGGTTCTTCCCATCAAGTTCCCCTTCACCTAATCAATTTTCAAGCCCTTTTTACTCTTGCTTCCACACTTGGTCGTCCTATCCAGCTCGATGATAAAACTGCCCGTTTGGATAGGGGTACAGAGGCCAAGGTCCTTATTGAGAGAGATACATCTCTACCCCTACCAAAGTCTATACACTTACGTTTAGGGAACAAGGACTTTATCATTCCTTGCTCGTTTGATTCAGACCCTGGTTTCTGTACTTCATGCAAAAAAATGGGTCATGCCTCTCCTAGTTGCAAAGCACAATTACCTACCAGGAAACTCGCCGGAAAGGGTAAAGCTGTTGAACTTGGAGATACTGGGGATCTGCCTTGGAATACAGCCAAAGGGAAAAAGAAAAATACAAGCAGATTGATAACCCCTTTCAACAGTCATTACAATCAGAAGTGGGTCATTGAGGAGAGGACTGGAACAACAACTATCTGCCAAAATTCTTTCCACTTGCTAGATCAATCCGTGGACACCCAGCCTTCTCACAACATTGCTCCCAACAACCCTCCAAATAATCTCAGCCACACCACTTGCACTTCACTGCCTTCTGGGCCACACTCTCCATCTTGCCGCAGGGACCCACCTGATACTAACACTATACACGAGGAGTTTTTTCCATCCCTATCAGAAGCGAAGGAATATGCCAAGAAAATTCCCAAAAGCCAGCAACAAGTAACATTTAGTGTTAATACACCCACCTTGATCTCCATGGATGACTGTCTCCACATAAATGTTGATCTGGGTCTTGGCTTCCTTCTGGGCCCCCAGCATTGCCACAACTCACCTGCAAAATCCAACAATGCCTTTCAACTTGGGTATCACTCAGAAGGTGATGACACGGAAATTATGAATAAATCAAACTTGGAGGCCTTTAATATTACAACCCCAGGTCCCAATTCTACAAGTATCTCTGTACCCAAAGCTACCAGGAACAAAAAGGCTCATTTCAGCCCTAAAATGCTCACTAGAAGCATGAAGGGGAAAACAGATGTTATTTTTTACCAGTTGACAGGAACATTTTATTCTGGAACGTTTGTGGTATTACCCCATCTGTAAATAGACTCATCTCTCTCTCCAAGTCTTCCAATTTTGATTTCATTGCTATCTTTGAGCCTATGGTTAAGGAGTTCAAAATCAACAGTGTTAGATTTTCTCTGGGTTTCTCTAACTGTGCTTCAGCTCTAAACAATAAACTTTGGGTATTCTGGCATGGTCAGAGACTTAGTCTATCCCATGTACAGGAGTTTGATCAGATGTTCTCCTGTCATTTCTGGGACAACCTTCTCAATATTAAATGCTGCATCTCCTCAGTTTATGGTAAACATACTGGAATTGAAAGAAGGCAACTCTGGAATGACATATCTAATAATATTATTGTTGATACCCTTTGGATTGTTGGGGGAGATTTCAATGCTATATCCTCCATTGATGAACATAAAGGCACATCTACTCCTAACCTCACAGACATTACTGAATTTAAAGACTGCTTTGAGGCCATCCCTCTTATCAGCCCCTTCTTCACAGGGGGGTTGTACACATGGAGTGGGGTCAGGGGTAGAGGAAGGTTATGGAGGAGGCTGGATAGAGCTTTGGTTAACTCAAAGGCAATGGATTTCTTTTCTGAAGTTACTATCAAACATCTTAGCAGAGCGACCTCTGATCATAAACCTATTTTCTTACACTGCTCACTGGACTCCTTCAAGGGAGCCAAGCCTTTTAGATTCCAAGATTTCTGGATATCACACCATTCCTTCTATAAAGTAGTGGAGGACTACTGGAATATGCAACCAATGATTGGAGGAATGAGGGGCCTGGCTGTAAAACTACAGGGACTGAAACCTATTCTCAAAGCCTGGAGTAAGGATACCTTTGGAGATATTTTTGAAACTGTCAAGAAGGCTGAACTTAAAGCTTTAAAGGCACAAGAGGACTATGAAACTAACCCCGGGGACACTCTAAAATGCCTTGCTAATCAAGCCAATGCTGAACTTATAGTGGCTTCAAACAGAGTAACCACCTATTGGAAACAAAAAGCTCACCTAAAGTGGATGGAACTTGGTGACCAAAACTCTTCCTTCTTCCACTCCTATGTGAAAGGTAGGAGAGCTAGTCCGAAGATTAGATCAGTTTCAACAGCTGGGGGCAAAAAACTCTTCCAGGAGGAGGATATTAAAAATGAGGCTGTGGAATACTTCAAAAATGTCTTCAGCAGTATCACCTTAGTGGATGACCAGGAGATTCTTAGACATATTCCTACACTAATCACCACTGAGGACAATAACTCCATGACACTAATTCCTAAGGAAGAAGAAATCAAAAAGGCAGTGTGGGAGCTTAATCCTAATGCAGCATCAGGTCCAGACGGATACAATGGAGTTTTCTTCAGAACTTGTTGGAGCATTATTAAGGAGGATGTGGTGAAAGCTTCTCAAGAATTCTTTATGGGTCTCCCTATCCCTAAATCTTTTGGATCAACTTTCATCACCCTAATCCCTAAAAAGGAGGACTGCAAGAGCTTCTCTGACTTCAGGCCCATCTCACTCTCAACTTTTATGAGCAAGATAAACTCCAGGATACTCACTACCAGAATCCAGCCACTTCTCTCTAAGATTATATCTAAAGAGCAGGCAGGTTTCCAAAAAGGTATGGGTGTTGAAGACCAGGTTCTTATGACTTGTGAAATGGCTCACAGTTTGGACAGGAAATGTGAGAGTGGTAATGCTATCATCAAGTTAGATATGGCTAAAGCCTTTGATAGAATTGAATGGGGCTTTCTCAAAAGAGTCCTTGGAGGGTTTGGATTCTCAAATAGGGTGCAACA